CTAGTTGTTGTTGAATTGCTTGATCATTATTTTATTTTCTACCAGCTAAACCAAAGTTCATTAGAGTTTGCTAAATCACATTTAAGCTATTAACCACTAACAAGCAAAAAGGAATTTCGCCCTTGGTTGTTAAAAACTTCTATAACTTAGACATGTGTGCCATAAATTCACTAATAATTTGGATAGTCGGATTTTTTTTATTTTGCTAGGTTTAGTAATAATAAATTTAATATTTTAATCTACATGTTATGTCATTAGTTTTAAATATTCAATTATTGGATGGCAAATGCAACAAAGGTTGATGTTATGCAAAATAGGCAACTATTGAGCACAATATATTTATTTACTTTTAGAAAATACAAAAGTTTAAATTCTATTCACAATTAAACTACATGCTTATTGTTTTCTTTTCTATCAGCCAAACTTATTTATTTGATCTTACCACCAATTTGTATGTAAGCAAATACCTACATGATAGCAATTAAGAAGGATTTTAACCATTATTTACCAAAATCATTCACATTTTAAGCTATGCATGCCAAGTTTTACATGACTATTTATTTTTACTTGTCATGATTGCTCATGTTGGACACGTTTTGTGTTATTTTGTAAATGCTTACAAAAATAATAATATTCGCGTTGTTTCTCGAAAATTATAGTTTCCTACAATTCCCTCAGTATGGGTGTCTACACTAGCTAAAAACAAGGTGTTCATTTCCTGCATTGACTACCAATAAGATAAATAGTTATATTGCCTAATACAACAATATTTGGCTCACCCATGCATGTTAATAATACTAACATTTGTACAATGTATCTATAAGGACTTACCAATAGGATTATTTTCTCCATCTAAGTTTATTTATAAAAAAAATAATACATTTAAATTGCAGGTTGGTCCTTAAACAATGCATGCACTAAGGGTTGATGTCCAAGGGAAGTAGCACCTATTTTGGCACAGTGCCTTGATTTATTTTTTAAATATACAAAAATTAAGATTCTACTTTGCTAGTAAAATGCATATTCCTTATTTTATTTTTTACTATAAAATATTACTTTTTGTTTAAAATTTTAATTTAATATGTGACTTAATCATTAAGTAAGAGACAATTGAAATTTTTATCAAAATACATTGGTATTTTGGAAATTAGTGTCCTAAACCTTTATTTATCGGGTACCCTTATCCTTCAGAATAAGTTTCAAAATATGACAAAAATACCCCTTGTCTTTTAATGATATTTACACAATCACCATTACTTGATGAGCAAGATATCACAAAAAGTAAGTTTTTTTTAAAAAAATAAATTCTATCCTTCACAACTTACTAAAACATTAACCTTTAGAATTTGAAGTATTGTGAATTGTATATTATTTGATATCTACAAAGACTTGATAGCAAATATTTTTTATTTTTGATAAAAAAAATTTAATAGGGTTAAACTACATATTATGCTATAAGTTTTAAAGATTATTAAATGAGAAATGCACCAAAGGTTGATGTTATGGAATAGTAGCAACTATTTGGGTATGATATGCTAATTTATATTTGGTGAATATAAAATATAATTATATTTAAAATCAAATTGCATGCTCATTATTTTATTTTCTAACATCCAAGCTCATGTTGATGGAGTTTACTAGACTTCTTGCATGCAAGCAATTGCCTACAAGGTTAACAATTAAAGAGATTATTACCCTTATTTTTTAAAACTACCTAGCCGACCCTAAATAGTTGGATAATGCTCGAGTGATGATGATGTTTTCTAAAACCGCCTATATATCTTAGGCAAGGCATGTCAAGTTTTACATAACAACATTAGTTCGTATTACATACCCTTTTTAACATCAATAACAAAAATAAGAATATTCAACTTAGTGTTCGATTCCTGCATTGACTGTCATTAAGATACATAGCTATATTTTGTGAATGCAACAATATTTGAGCTCATCCAAAAATGCTAATATTAACATATGTAAAATGTATGTGATAAAATTTTTCAATCATGTGGATAATTGAGATCCATAAGGATATATCAGTAAGATTTTTCCCCATCTAGGTTTAGAAATAAGTACATTTAATGTAGTTTTGAAATATGCAGTTATTAAACAATACATGCAGTAAAGGTTGACGTTATGGGAAAAGCAGATGCTATGTTGGGTGCAATATATTGATTTCTTTTTGGAAAATACATAAGTTAAGATTCTATTTGCTAATATATTGCATGCTCATTATTTCCTATGTTGAACGCAATTTCAAGCAATTTTTAATATGCTGACAAAAAATTAAGATTCATATTATTTATCAAATAGTAGTGTGTCTAGCTAAACAAGGTTTTCAGTTCATGCATTAACTGTTGTTAAGATATATGGGCATATTGCATAAATACAACAATATTCGGGCTCATCCACATTGCGATATTAGCATTTGTACAATGTATCTAATAATAATTTGGAAGGTATTTATGTAAACATAAATATTACATTTATAAGGAATTACTGAGAAGATATTTTATTTTTTTTTGGCCAGGTTTAGTGATAAGAAATTCCATCATGCTTAAACTACACACTATTCTATAGGTTTAAAAGATTCAATTGACAAATGATAGTTGCACCAAAGGTTGATGTCATGAAAGAGTAGCAACTGTTTGGACACAATATATTGATTTGTTATAGGAAAGAAAAAGTTTATAAAAGGCGTCAGCCTCATACTATAGAAGTAAGGTGCACCTAAAACACCGAACGAAAAAAGGTTGATTTGTCACTAGAAAATTATCCATTTGATCATCTTGACCTCGATGTATATGGATATCAAAAACTAAATGAATTTCAAGTCCTACAAATAGTAAATCTTGTACCACATTATCTAGACCATCCTTTTTCAAGATTTGTAAATGCTCATAGATATACAAGATTCGTACCATTTTCACACCTTTCAATTTCATTATAGAGGTGAAAAATAGACTTTTAGGCCATGATAAGAGATTTGGCATTGAAAATACATCATTTAATGAGATTTTTTGGGTGTGCCTTACCGTTATTGTTTAAGTTGTCACTTCATACAAACCTCACCCTTTAGGAAAATACAAAAAAAAGAGTTCTATTTGCCATTACATTGCCGGCTCATTATTATTTTTGTAACAGTCATGCTCATGTTGATGAAGTTTACCAACTTGTTGCATATAAGTAAAATTACCTACGAGATTTACAATTAAAGAAGATTTTACCATTATTTCCTAAAACCATCCACATGTTAGTTATGGATGCTAAGTTTCACTTAACAACATTAATTGTTATTTACCTTTCCTTCTTGTGATGTACTCGCCTTGAACACGTTTTGGTAACATTTTTAACGAACTTTTAAATTCGGGTTACTTTTGGAACAGTGGCATTTCTAACAAATTGAGGCGTTTGATTCCTACTTTCACTGTCATTAGGATAAAAAATCACATTGCCTTGATACAAGAACTAAATTGAACCTAATAATAATTTGGAAGTAACGTATGTTCAGGTAAATATTTGATGTATAAGGACTAAAGGTTAATGTTACGGGAAAAGTAACAGTTCTTTGGGCACAATGCATTCATTTGTTTTTGGATAATAAAAATATTAAGATTATGTCTGCCGTTATGTTTGCTATTAAACTGCATTCTTATTATTTTATTTTCCTGGCGAATTTTATATTGATTCAGCTTTACCACCTCTTTTTATCCAAGTGATTAGAGATGAGATTAACAATGAGAAAGCATTTTGACCCTCGCTAAAATCATCCACAACTCGGCTATGCATGCCAAGTTTTACATAAAATTTAACTCCTAATTATTTTTCCTTGTCGCGGCATGCTCGTGTTGATCATACTTTTAAGCCACTTTTAACATTATGACAAAAGTAGTAATATTCTAGCTATTTTTCGAAATGTGGCACGACTGGCTTACAAGGTGTTCAATTCTGACTGTCATTAAGAAAAATATATGTATTGCATAAATATAACAATATTCGAGCTCGTTGAAATATGCTAATATTAACATTTGTACAAATATTATCTAATAAACATTTGGCAGTCATTTGTGTTTAGTAAATATTTGACATCTATAAAGACTTACAAGCAATTTTTTCTCTCTAGTTTTAGTAATATTTAACACATTTAAACTACAATTTGGTCCCTAAATTTCTCAGATTCAGTTATTAAGATATGGAAAATGTTTTCATGCGGGTTGAACCGCATTTTTACATGCGCGGTTCAGTAAGTATAACGCATGAATCTTAAAGATGTACGCAAGTAGGTGTTCCGTCTAAAAATAATGGAAACTAACAGTCCAAATGTTTTTTTATTAAAAATATTATTTCTAAATTTTTAAATTTATTTATTTATTCATATTCATGACATACATGTTAGAGATTACATGTAGTTAAAAATTAAACCTTAAAATTCGTATCAGAAATATATTTATTAAGAGGCCAACATTTATAGGTGGCCGATGAAATTTCGAATTAGCTAAGTACTTCCTTAACTCTTAAGCAACAAGAACCACCGCTCGGTGTTTGAAAAAGTAGGTTTGGAGGACAAAAGGACGGGAAGGGAAAGGTTAAAAGGAGCGAAGGGCAATTTTGTAAATTCTTAAAACCAACGAATGGTTTTATAACAAAACCAGTGGTTTTCATAATGTCCTAAACTGCCCCTCCATTTATATCTGCGGGATTATATTAACCCTATCTTATTTCCTATTTGCCCCTTGCACTTCCCACTTTTAAACTTAATTAATCACCATTTACCCAATTGTTACCCATTAATCTTTTATAATGACGAAAATACTTCCGTGCTAACGCTGAAAACGGAGAGACGCCGATAATTTCGAGATCACAAAACGTCATTTTGAAGGGACAAATGGGTAATTTAGTCCATTTTGAAACGGAAAGCGTACGGAAGACTCGGTGAGACCTTTCAGTCCTCCAACGAGTTGAAGGTCACACAAGAAATATTAGAGGTTTTTGCGGTATTTTCAAAGGCCTCGACCTTTTAAAGCTGGGGTTGTGGGTGGGATGTAGTTCTGCAACGCAGGGTTGGAGGTAATTTTTTTTTTCTGTTCCATGTCTTTTGTGGCTGTTTGATCTCATATTTGTCGAAGCTTTTTAGGTTTTCTTTCTCGACCTCTACTGTGTTTTTCATTTTCTTTGTGGTTTTGCATGAGCAAGATTTGGTTTATTGTGTTTGTTGACTAACACTCAGTCTGTACTTTTTGTGATTCAGTTCTCTCTTTTTCTCTCTATCAATTTGTTTTTCTTCTGAGATTTAGGTAAACAGTTTGTTATTTTATACAGTAAGATTGTGTGTTTTTTGGTTTTTTGTTTTGGGATTTCAACTGTAGATTGTTGTTTTAATGGAGTGTCTTTCTTTTATTTTTTGGTGTTCTATGTTTTCTTCCGATTTCCTTTACTTATTCGTACATTTTGATTTTTTCTACTTATTGTTATATATTTTTTGGGTAGGGTTGTGCTCTGATGTTTTTGAGCTATAACTTTATTCTGATTTGAGCTTCAAAGTGTTCTGTTTCTATTGGGGTTTCCTTGTCTTCGTCAGCTAGGATTTTTCCATTGTACATGCGTTGGGATTTCTTTTGATCGTGGATTGGGGTTTTGAGTAGCTTGTTAGACTGTTAGCAGCCGTTTTCTCTTAGGGTTTTGATGCTACCTCCTCCTTGTTTCCTTGCTTGTGCATTCCTGATCAGTCTCAAGTTTTTAGTTTTAACTGTGTTTTTCCTGTGCCCATTGACAAGTGTTTAATCTGTTACTTGTAGCCATGGGTCCCTTGTGTACTCATTTTTAGGGTTTTGTTGATGTTAATCCTTTGGCATGCAGTTGATTGTAATAGCAAAATGTATTCGTGTCGTGAATGGATTAATAGCTGTTCATTTTATTTGTATTAATTTGATGGTTATGGTTTATTGACGTGCCTTATTTTTGGATTCATGTGATTTATTATTGTTTGGTTCAACTTTAGTGCTAGTGTTTTGCTACTGTCTATCCTTTTGGTGAGCAGATTTACTGGGCATTATATTTGTTCATTTCTTTTTTACATGATGCCGAGTGTTTCCATAGTCTGTGACTCCTTGGGTTCCCCACGGTTTAGGTTTGTAAGATGTGGTGAACTTCTTTCGTTTTTCGCCAGTGTTTTTTCTGTCTGATGTTGATATTTTATTGATCCATTTTGAGCAATCTTCTTTGTGAAGTTTTATTGTGTCGCATGATGTGATATTGCAAGATCTTTGTGGTTTGTATATGGTGATTTTAGTTTTAAGGAAAATGGGTGTAGTCATTTCATGCTCTAGTGTAGTAATATAGCATGTACTGATGTAGCATTGAGTTTCACCTTTCTTCAGAAATAAAAGAATAAATTCGTTTTTTTTATTTGTTTTTATTTTTTCTCCTGGGTGATGCAACTGGAGTGTTCTCTTGTAATGTGGTTCTATGGTTTCCTGCCTTATTAATTGGTGTAGAGTTGTCTACTAAACATTCTTTTCACTGTCTCTATTTTGTTTCTGTAGTTGGTTTAACTGTTCATTTGTAATGTGATAATTTTATTTATTTTTAGTTTACTTCTTGTGTTATAGTGCTTCTATCTGAATTTTATTTTTGTTAGTATTATCATCGGACCTTATGCTTTTATGCGATTAAATGCCGTGTCTATGTCGAGTAGGTGTACTCTTGGTGTTGGTGAAATCGGGAAAATGGTACAATACCTCTGTATTCTTTTTCTTTTTGTTCTTTTTTGATCCTTGTAGTTTTTTCTTCAATTCGTCCCCTTCTCCTCTCTTTCTTTCCCTTTTCTCCTTTTTTTCATTGAGTGCCAACTGTTGGATTTTGACTGTATGGGGTTGAGAGTGAATCAATCTCTCTCTCTCTACACACACGTGTGTGTATCAATTTTCTGGGTTAAGTGATTCTTTTTTTGATGTCATGGTTTCTGGTTTATGATTCCTATATAGTTTTTTCTTCTTTAGTCATGTTTTGGGTTCCGGTTTTCTTCTTTATTTTGGTGCATTCTGATTCTCGCTTTTAAAAGTTCTTCTCCTGGCTTCATTGTCTATGGGTTTGTCATTGAGTTTATTATCTTGCTCTCTACCCTTTTCTGGTTTGTGATTCCTATATAATATTTATATTTCTTTGTTGAATGATGTTTTTGGGTTCCTGTTTTCTTCTATTTCTTGGTGCATTCTCATTTTTGCTTTTAGAAAGTTCTTCTATTGTCTTCATAGGCTATGTGCTTGTCATTGGTGACCACGTTTATTATCTTGCTCGTCTACCCTTACTAGACTGGTTTAACTCTAGGCTTACATTTCAGTAGACTTTTACATGTTATGTTATTGTGCTTGTTTATTTTCCATGTGCTTGTCATTAAGTTACATATGTACTCTACTTACTCTTCCATATCAAGTTACCATTTAGATTGGATTTGCTTTTGATTTGACTATTTTCTGATTTATGACTAATAAAATGTTTGTTACTACTACGTGTTCTGTACCTAGTGTGCTGAAACTACATTTTCCGTGATTTTTCTGTGCTTGTTATGTGAACATCCTCTTGCTCTCTCTCTCTCTATTCTTTTCTACTCAGGTTCCTATTTGTTCATTACAATACGATACAATTATACGAGTTTCTAACGCTTTCTGAAATATTGATGACCACAGATTGAGTTCCTTGCATTCTGAGACTTTGCTACCTAACAAAATTCTTGAAGTGTAATCCCCTTTCACTGAACCATGCCGAGGAAAAAGAAGACGATGGATCCAACCAGCGGACTTGGGGAGAGTTCAGATGCTCCTTCCCAAGCCCCTCCTGAAGCTCGCCAGCCCCCTCCTCAACAGCGTCCCTCACCCCCTTCACAACCAACCCAACAGCCCCAGTCTGCTCCTTATCAACAACAAGGAAGGGGATGGGGCCTACAACCAGGCCGGGGTGGCTATACTCAACAACCGCAATACCAAGGACGAGGAGGCCCTCAGGGCCGAGGTCAGCAACCTCCTTATCCACAGCAGCCCCCTTATCAACAGCAGCCCCCTTATCAACAGCAGCCATCTTATCAGCAGCAACCTCGAGCCCCTTACCAGCAACCTTCTGGTCCTTATCAAGGGGGCCAGATGGGTGGGCCCCAAGGTGGTGGTGGGGCCAGGAGGAGGGGAGGGGGCCGTGGTGGTGGGCCCACCTCGGGCCCTTCTGGTTCATATGCTAGACCCCCAGTTCCCGATCTGCCCCAAGCTGTTGCCCAAAGACCACCATCTCAATACCCTCCGCAAATGTACGCGCAACAGTTTGGTTCGTTTCAACAAACACCATCTCAGGCCGGTGAGCCCCAGGAAAGTGGCGCTTCGTCTTCTTCTGCCCATCAGTTAGCAGAGCAGGTTCAGCAGCTTACATTGGTGAAACAGGAGGAGGCTGTGCAGCAGCCACCCCAGTCGAGCAAGAGCATGAGATTTCCTTCGAGGCCTGGGAAGGGGTCGATGGGGACCAGGTGTATGGTGAAGGCAAACCATTTCATTGTGGAACTGCCAGATAAGGACTATCACCAATATGATGTAAGGTTTCTTTCCTTGGTTCACTTGCTGGGTGTCTTTGTCCATTATTGGTATCTACTTTTCATTGTATAGTTTTTGGTGGATTTATGATAAATGGACAGTTGACATCTATTGGGCTGCATTCACATTCGGAAGTGGGTCATAGTGGAGCTTTTACTGTCTATGTCATTGATGTTTGCAAGTTCGATTGTGCAGTATTAAAATTCAGTAAAGTCAGATTTTCTTGGATATATATTTTTTTCTTATAGGTATGAAATGTTTCGGTACAATTCATCCGTATTTAGAATGTGGAATTAAGTAACATTTTTTAACTGAAAATAAGTCTTACTTTGTGTAACTGAAGTTTGTTTGTGTAACTGAACTCTTGGGTTTCTCTTGGATAACATTCAGTGAGATTCTTATTATCTCATCAGCACCTGCACTGCATTTATTTTGATCGTTTGCAAAATTGAAATTGAAGAATTGGTGACATTGGTGAGTTTGGTGTTTGTGTTCATGGTCTTTATATATTGTATTGAGCAATGTTGATATATGTTTTGTATTTGGTTTGACTATGTGCATCATTTGTATTGACGAATTGGTGTTGGTGGAGAGTTTGGTGTATGTGTTCATTGGTCTTTTTTATGCATTGGAATGAGCAAAAATTACATTACTCCAATTCTTTTTTTTTTTAATTAATGCCAACTTTTCTGGTAAATTTTATTCCTTTTACAATGTAAAGATAATTCTTTTTCTGCTGCTGTTTTTGTTTTTTTTTTGGAAGAGTGTAATTGAGCACATTGATTTTTTTTAATTAGTCCACCCATGATTGGGATTGACACGAGGCCGTCTTAATTCAGGTGTCCATCACACCCGAGGTTACTTCGAGAGCTGTGAATCGAGCAGTTATGAAGCAGCTAGTGAAACTTTACCAAGAGTCTCACTTGGGAAGGAGGTTTCCAGTTTATGATGGTCGGAAGAGTCTTTATACTGCTGGACCTCTCCCCTTTACCTCAAGAGAATTTGCCATAAATCTGATGGATGAAGATGATGGAATGGGCACTCTTAGGTTGTTCATTTGCAGTCCCTTCAATTGATTTCCATAAGTTTTTCTTTGAATGATCATAATTCACAATTATGGTTATTTGCTGTATAATACTATAAGCTTGTATATGAAAAGTTCTCTTTAACACTTGTTTTTAATCTTGCAGACGTGAGAGGCAATTCAAGCTTGTAATTAAGTTTGCTGCTCGTGCTGACCTGCATCACTTGGGGTTATTTTTAGCCGGAAAACAATCTGATGCTCCCCAAGAAGCCCTCCAGGTTCTGGATATTGTTTTGCGAGAATTGCCAACCAACAGGTAATTCATTACTAATTCACCATTGCCTTTACTTGTCTTTAATATATTTGTGTCATTTATGGTTTCTCTGTCGCATTTATGGTTTCTTCATGTGGGGCACTTGATATGTTGGTGTTGTGTCTATCTCATTCAAGGTTTCTCCTCTCGTATATGGCTTCTTTGTGTTGGGTAGTTGATACATTAGACTGAATGCTGTGTGACTTGATCTTGATGTAGATATTCCCCTGTTGGGCGTTCATTCTATTCTCCTGATCTTGGTAGAAGGCAGTCGCTGGGTGAGGGTTTGGAGAGCTGGTGTGGGTTTTACCAGAGTATTCGACCCACACAAATGGGTCTTTCGCTTAATATTGGTATGCTATTGTTGCCCTTGATGCTTTTTATTATTGCTGTAGTCTTTATAGTTTTTATTTGGTTTCTAACACTAAGTTTGTTGCAGATATGTCCTCTACTGCTTTCATTGAGCCACTTCCTGTTATCGAATTTGTTACTCAGCTTTTGGGCAGAGATGTTACCTCGAGGCCATTGTCTGATGCTGACCGTGTTAAGGTATTTTGTTTTAAAGATTGTGAGATTGGTTTCTTAATTCTCGTATGTACTTTTTTTTTTTGGATTCATTTTTTATTACTTGATAGTACAAGTAATAAAAATGAAAATTTTAAAAGTAAATAACAATTTGAGTGACTAGAAGAGCAAGCAAAACTAAAATTAGTTGTCTTAGTTCGATTTAGAAAAAGCTTGAATTTGGATATTTATTCTGAATTTTATTTTCTGTGAACAAGCGCAAGGTGACTCCTTCGATTTTTTTTGAGTTGGTCAGTATATTCAGTAATGTGCTAGTGTGAACTAATAGAGAGCTCTGTGCTATTTTTGCAGTTATTTGTGGTCCATTTATTTACTGTGCTCGCTTGTGCTATCAGATCAAGAAAGCTCTTAGAGGTGTGAAGGTTGAGGTTACCCACAGAGGCACTATGCGTCGCAAATACCGCATATCGGGTTTAACTTCACAGCCAACAAGAGAGTTAACGTAAGATTCTTTACTGTTATCTTCATGAATCATGATACCTAAATTTACTAAAAATTTGGAATAATCCATCTGATGCTTGACTCCATAGTGGTTGATATTATTTCTTTATAAAAAGAAACTATGTAGTGTCAATCTATCTGTTCTTTTTAATTGACATGATTGATGGATTCCTTTGTGGAAATTTATTTTATGACAGGTTCCCTGTGGATGATAATGGAACGATGAAATATGTTGTCCAGTACTTCCAGGAGACGTATGACTTCAACATTAGGCATACTACGTGGCCTTGTCTGCAAGTCGGGAATCATCAGCGCCCAAATTACCTCCCAATGGAGGTGAAGATTTATTACTTTCTTGGCTTTTAATTGATCATCTGTTTTATCTATTGGATGGCGTGCGATATTGGTACTGTACTACAGGTATGCCAAATCGTTGAGGGCCAACGATACTCAAAGCGATTGAACGAAAGACAAATCACTGCCCTTCTGAAAGTGACCTGCCAGCGACCACATGACCGGGAGCTTGCTATTATTCGGGTATTGTGTTGCTTTGTATTTAGTTTATGTTTATGTTCCTTTTTTCGACAGTTAATTTTTATGAAATTATATCTTTGATTGGTGAATTACGTCTGTGTTACTCAAAAAGGATGACTAGCTAAAATGAGTTTTTCTTTTTTCTTGTTTCCATACATGAAATATCCTTACAGGAAAAACTTGCCTCTTGTTCTGCATCCTATCCTCCCTTTTCTTGTTATTGGGTTATTCCTTTTTCTTGTTTCTTTGTGAAATTTCATTATAGAGATAATTGCTTCTGGTTTCTGTATGCTGTCCGCCTTTGGTTCCTGTGGAAGCATGACTTCGAAAGCATATCTTGCCCCAATAAACTCTAATCCTTGCATCCCTGTCAATTTCCCTGTTAGAATATGAAAGAAACTCCCTGGATTCATGTTTGAGTGTGCCCTTCTGAAGGCATCTTTTATCCAGTATCAAAATCCTTCATGAAGAGTGGAATATAATTCCCCGTGATAGGTTTTGAATGTAATTCCCAGAAGTATCTAAAAAAAAGGTTACTGGTGTACATTTGGAATTGAAGGATATAGAAAATAATGTGAAATTGCAATTATTTTAGGTGTCTTCTATAGTATATAAATCCCTGATGCAGTGTGGGATTTAATTCCCTGCGATAGTTTTGGGATATGATTTTCAGAAGTATAAAAGAAAAAAAAGGTTACAGGAATACACTTGCAACTCAATTAAATTCAATATGATGTGAATTGCACTTTTTTAATGAGAGGATATGATTCCCTAATTTGAACTTGTCTTTGTAGACATTTCTTGGCTGGATAGGCAGCAATATTTTTTTGCATCACTTGAAACAAGCAGAACAATGTGTGTAGTGGCTACTTTGCCATGCCATCTTTAGATTTTGTTTTTTCCTTTTCGTCTCTATTTGTAGACCACACAGAATTTTTTGGTTTCTGATGCTAGACTATTTTTGCAGACTGTGCACCATAATTCTTATCATCAGGACCCTTATGCAAAGGAGTTCGGTATTAAAATTAGTGATAAAATGGCATCAATTGAAGCACGCATTCTGCCTCCGCCCTGGGTTAGTTGTTCACTCTGACGTTTTCTCTTCTCATAAAATTCTACAGTTCTTTATTTTCTTTTTATTAATGACACCTATTGGTTAATATTTTCTTGTGACCCCCACATTGGATGTGCAGCTTAAATACCATGATACCGGCAGGGAGAAAGATTGCCTACCTCAAGTTGGGCAATGGAACATGATGAACAGGGTGATATTGGGCTTATTTTGTTACTTTCAGTGCCTTGGTATTTCTTGCTTATGTTTTTGGACCTTTTTTTGGGGAATGACTGATATTTTAATTTTGTTGCAGAAAATGGTTAATGGAGGCACTGTAAACAATTGGACGTGTATAAACTTCTCCCGTACTGTTCAAGACAGTGCTGCTCAACGCTTTTGCCAGGAGCTTTCTCAAATGTGTCACATTTCGGGAATGGTATTAATGACTAGCATATTGTCTTCTCGTCCTTGCTTGTCATTGAGTGGGCTTAATTTGGATTCCATCTACAATTGAAATGCATTGATGATTATGTTGTCTCCCTCTCTAATTATCCGTGGTTTGTGTGATGATTATGTTGCAGACATTCAACCCAGAACCTGTTATTGCTGTATCTTCTGCTCGTCCTGATCAGGTGGAGCGAACTCTGAAATCCCGATTTCAGGAGGCAGCAAATGTTCTTCGTGGCAAAGAACTAGATCTGCTGATTGTAATCTTGCCTGATAATAATGGTTCCCTTTATGGTATGTTCATTCACTGTGCATGTGTGTATGCTTTGAAGATTTGCATATCATTTTCCTCTATGTTGATTCAAAGTCATTCCTTTCTCCTTGTTAGAAAAAATGTAATCTGTTATATGATTAGTCTCTAACTTTGCTGGGTTGTTTCTTTTTCCGCATACACCACTGACTTTTTTTGGACTTGAGAATGCTTTTATGCTCTCCCATACCTTGTTTTTAGATCTTTGTAGTAAGTTCTTTCTTGTTTTACTTATTCTAGTAAAAGCTGCTGTTTACTTCAAACCATCATTGTGCTTTTCTGATTTTTTCTGCTAAATACCATTCTGTTCATGTAAGGCTTGTTGCGCACTGGCTTTTACAACTTATTATGCATTGTACCCATCCGTTATGACGGTTTTATGCTCCTGTTCCCATTTCTTAATATGGCCTTTATATACCTTATAGGGGATCTAAAGAGAATTTGCGAGACGGATTTGGGCTTGGTCTCCCAATGCTGCTTAACTAAGCATGTATTTAAAATGAGCAAGCAGTATCTTGCTAATGTTGCTTTGAAAATCAATGTTAAGGTACCCATTGTAGTCTTCTGTTTTATTCTCTTCACCATTCCATTTGAATAATGTGCTGGTAATTAATTGACCCAATTTCTTCATTGTATAAAAAAGGTCGGTGGGAGGAATACTGTACTTGTGGATGCGATTGCAAGGAGAATTCCACTTGTAAGTGACGTTCCAACTATAATATTTGGGGCTGATGTCACTCATCCTCACCCAGGAGAGGATTCCAGCGCATCCATTGCTGCTGTAAGATATCTCTCCCTTCATTGCTCTCTCTCATCGAGTAATACCTTTCTATTTTGCGAAGTTTTGAAAATCAGATTGCACCCGAGCCAAGTTCATATAATTGGCGGGTCCTTTAAAAAGAAACTTGTCTAATGGCTGATGGTTGTTATTTTATTGTTTTTCATAAACTTGGCTAATGGGTGATCTGGGTTGTCTAAGGCCAGTCCTGATCTCTGGAGTCTAATCATTGCTTTTTTGGTTGTTCATTGTTCAGTATTGACTTCAGATTGTATCTTGTGCAGGTCGTTGGTTCTCAGGACTGGCCAGAGGTGACTAAATATGCTGGATTGGTCTGTGCTCAAGCTCACAGACAAGAATTGATCCAAGATCTTTATAAGGTCACCCAGGATCCTCAACGTGGAACTGTGACGGGTGGCATGATCAAGTGTGTGCTCCTCATTTTGCATTGTTATTTGGCTATTTGTACTGGCAATGCCAGCTTGGGCTGATTTTTCTTTTATTATTTGGCTGTTTGTGTCTTTGATGTCTTTGACTTAATGATTTTTTCTTGCTATCCCCTTTTGTTAGGGAGTTGCTCATTTCATTCAGGAGAGCAACTGGGCAAAAGCCTCAGAGGATTATTTTCTACAGGTATGTTTATTCTGAGTTACTTAAACTTTTATTCGTTAATCATCTGCAATTTAATTATAAACAAAAGAGAAAATTTTAAGGTCGAACAATGAGGTGCATTCTGGAAACATTCTATCCTACCAAATCACTAAAATTGACTGATTAAAAAACGACAAAGTTGCCCTGTTGATTACTGCCCCTGTTTGGTTTTGGTTAGTTACAGTTCTACATTTACTTGTGGATGTTCTAAGAACACTTGGATACATGTTATAAATCTTGAGCAAGTATAGAGCATAGTGTACTACTAATCCCTCGGTCAGATGGCCTACTTGGGAAGATTTTTTCAATCTAAAAATTTGGTAGTCACCTTAGAATCACCAGATTATTGTTCTAAAAATAAAAAACATGTACTACTACTCCCCAAGTTAAAAGGTTAAAGGGTGAAAGGGTGCAATTAGGATTTTTTTTGTTATTGAGGTTAATCTATGTGTTAAAAGGTTATATCCCCAAAATTTGGGGTCCTAAAACTAACCCTAGGTCCGGTTTTACCCGATAGTAAATTGACCGTGTACACCAGATGGAGAAGAATATCTTTTGGAGTAAAATCTTTTTTCCTTGGGTGATTACTTCAAAGCTGGTACGATGTTTTAAACATTACGTTAAAAGGTTGTTAAATCCAGGGCTTTTCAGATTGTCACATATTAGATATCTCTAAGTCTGCATTCTAGGTTACTTGGTAGAAATTCCTTTCCCTCCAATACATTAATTTAAATGCTGATTGCATTATGCTCGATGAGCAAGGTTATAGCTGGGATATGTGCCTTAGCGTGTCCTGGTACCAAGTTCTGATGTATGTTATTTTAATATGTTTTCACTGTGCTCATTTGCAGGGATGGAGTTAGCGAGGGCCAGTTTTACCAGGTTTTGTTTCATGAATTGGATGCTATTCGCAAGGTAATGCCTTGGCAATCATCTATAATGCGATAGATGTGATAATTTTCAATAGGCAACTGTGTTAATTTTTTATTTTTTTATTTATTATATCATGGCAGGCATGTTCCTCCCTTGAGCCAAACTATCAGCCCCCTGTGACATTTGTTGTGGTTCAAAAGCGGCATCACACTCGGCTATTTGCAAACAATCATAAGGATCATCATCTGACTGACAAGAGTGGAAATATATTACCCGGTATGATTAGGTCTTAGGTTTTATCTTTTTAGTTGTATGCAGTTATTTGATGACTCCTGATTAGTTTAGACCATCAGCATATATATTAATTTTAAAATTTACATGGATATGGTGTCTTTTATAGAGGGTTGTTTTATTGGAATGTGGGACATGCCTTGCATTTGTTTGTGCTTATGATCATCAAAGATATTATGATGAATAGTTTCCGTAAAAGAAATTAAGATGAATAGTTTCCGTCAAAGAAATTAAGATGAATAGTATGTTGTTTATCTTCTTGGGGTTCTCTTTGTATCGTAATTATTGGAAGAAAAAAGCTGCCAATAACTGGGCACTTATAATGTATAGTAATATTGGTGGAATCTCAGCCCTCAGATCTTCATCAGGTTGTTCAAAATACATATCACTATCTGAGTTTTTATCTTTTTCTAGATTTCGGATCGTAATGAAATTCTGGGTGTGTGAACTAAAAAAAGCGCGCACGAGAAAAACATATAAAACAAATAATTTTCAAAATATGAAGTGATGAAAATAACCCTGAAAAATAATGGAGGTGGTTTGGTCATTTATTATCTTGAAAGTATATTTTTTTATTTTTTTATGTGGTGCACGCTGGTGTCTAGTATATCCTCCCAAAACTTCATCAAGATCCGATTTCTAGAAAAAAGATTAAAATTCAGATAGTGACATGTATTTTGAACCACCAGATAAAGATCTGATGGCTGGGATTCCACCTATATTACTATTCATTGTAAGTGCCACTTTTATATGGCTGAGATTCTCTGTTTTGGTAGCTTTATCATTATTTGGATATTCAATTGTCTTTGGTACTTTGGGCGAAAATGGAGCATGATTATATTAAAAATAGTTGAATTAGACGGAAAGGTGGAAGAAACTTAGTTTCAAATGAAAAAAATATTGTTGTGTTATTATGGGAGAAGTTATATTTTTCCAAAATGTTTTGGATATAGAGATATATATTTATGTGGTGAGCATAAATTCTTTTCAAGCTTTGTTCTGTGATCTCATCGATGTTTTGCACACTTTGCAGGAACTGTGGTGGATTCAAAGATCTGCCATCCCACTGAATTTGATTTTTACTTATGCAGTCATGCTGGCATCCAGGTGATTTTCTCAATCTCTCTCTCTCTCTCATCAATAATCTCTCTCTCTCTCTCTCTCTCATCAATAGTCTCTCTCATATCTAGAAACATGTACCCTCTTCTGCCTCCTCGCATTTATACCCTTTGTTTGGTTTTTGTTGCGGTTTTCTATGATAGTAAAACTTGGGTAGAATATTTCACATCTTGATCGTGTGTACTAGTTTTGTTCGCATTGTGGTTTTTATACAACTAAGTAATCCTTTCTCCCTCTAACAGGGTACTAGCCGCCCTGCCCATTACCATGTTTTGTTTGATGAGAATCACTTCACAGCCGATGGCCTCCAGTCGCTCACTAATAATCTGTGCTATACGTAAGTTTGATGATAGCTTCATACTTGTTCTCCCATTATTCAACATGTTCTGAGAAAAGTAACAGTAAAATGAATAATATAAATCAAAAAAATTTGTTAGATGATTGCTGAGCTGTTGCAATTTCAAACAGGTATGCACGTTGCACCCGCTCTGTCTCTATTGGTAAGTGGTTTCAGAGAGTTATCAGTGTTATTGAGGCTTTTCCTTCCATATATCAATGGCCAGCTCTTTTGAGTAATTGTTCATTTTCTTATTGCATGAGGAAATTTTCCATACTCTTGGCAAGTATCTTGTAGGGTTCTTGCTTTGCCCGTCTACTGCTCCGTAGTACTTATAATTGTTACAGTGGAGATGTTCTTTCAGCTTTTAGGCCCTGTTTTGTTTGTCCAGGGCACAGCTGCTCATCTCCACCACTTGTTCAGTATGGGTGGTGGATGGCTGTTCTGACTTCTGAGTACCTTGCATTATACTTTGTAGGAGTAAATCTTGTGCAGTGATTTCCGATCAAGTTTTCCTGCTGTTTCTAGGTTGTTTCTAATGGAAGTTTTGTGCTTATTTCTTCATTTATGTACTCTCTTTCTCTCTCTCTCTCTCT